CCCCCCATCCCCGCGCCGCACCCGAGGGCGGCGTCCCCACCCTCCATCACCACCGTGCAGCATGCCATCCTGCAGCACCACGCCGCCGCCGCCGCCGCCGCCATCGGGATTCACCCTCACCCCCATCCCCAGCCTCTCGCTCAGGTTCATCATATACCCCAGCCCCACTTGACGCCTATTTCGTTATCCCACTTGACCCACTCGATTATTCCAGGGCACCCTGCTACGTTTCTAGCCAGCCACCCCATCCACATCATTCCGGCGTCAGCTATCCATCCGGGCCCCTTTACTTTTCATCCGGTTCCTCACGCTCTGTATCCAACCCTTCTTGCCCCGAGACCTGCTGCCGCTGCGGCCGCGACAGCGTTACATCTTCACCCTTTGCTGCACCCCATTTTCTCAGGACAGGACTTGCAGCATCCACCCAGTCACGGCACATGAAGGACAAAACAAAGTAACCTTGGAGGAAGGAGAATATTTTTGCGTTTTGGGAAGGGGTTGAAGTTGAGCCAGCTGGCAGGTGAGGCCTGAGAATTTCCTTTCACTCTTTAGCAGCCAAAGAAGCCAAAGGCTCGAGGGCTGGGTAGCAGCAGGCGGCGGGTCGGTTCGTAAGCGTTGTGTATATCCGCTACCAGGGGCTGTCTCGCGTCCCCGACACCTCCGTGCACGTAGCAGCACTGTATCCTAGAAGAATCATTTCACGTGTAGACCAGCGAGACACCTGGAAAGGCTTTTTTTTCCCTGGATTCTTACACTTGGTCATCTTCCTTCTGCCGTCTTGTATATGATAAATGAGATTTCATACACACTAATAGGTCCCTCAAAATCCTTTTAATGAGGTCATCTAATTAAAATAGTCAGCATGATTGAATCCGGCTTGTAATCAGCGATAAAACATGCAGTAACTGACAGCTGTGGATCCTGGCGAGGAGACCGGTGGAAGGGCAGTGGCACTCTTGTTTTGGCTGGGCCAGTACCAGTTTTCAAGCGTTACAGCAGATTTCTTGGCACCCGATCGCCGCATACGTGGTATTTTTTTTTTTTTCTTTTTTGCTCAGTGTGAGCAGCAAAGGTGGAAGTAAGATCTTATTTTAAAGCCGAAGAGAGGAGCCGCGTGTGTGCTCGGAGCTCCGACCCTTCTCCATCCCGCATTAGCGTTCTCCTGCGCGAGGGCTGCACCTCGACGCCTTCTGGATATCCTGGACTGGAGAGAGGTTCTCACTTCGGTTGGTGATTTCAACCTGGGCTTTGACCACTCTTCTCCTGGGGGGGGGCGGGAAATATCACTCTGACTTCCACCTTTTGCGGTGTTGGGAAAGAGGCACTCGGATGAGAGAGAGAAGAAAAATCCCTTTAGGAATTGAAGCAATACGGAGGACTGGGGAGAGTGGCCGGGGTATGTAAAGTGTATTCTTTCCTCTGTAATACTGATGGTTTCCTTATTAATTTATAGGATTTTTTTTTTTTAAATGTAAAGAATTGCACTGAACTCTGTAAACAAAGATGCTGCTTTTTGTAGCTCATATAAAAAGGTTACATTTGTAGTATACCGCAATAATATTTTTTACAGCCAGTTCTTTTAGTGGTACTTGTTCTGGTGGCTTTTGTGTAAATATGTTTGCCGTAGGTGAAATAAGACACTTGTAAAGGTTCCACTTTATAGTTTCAGCTAGACGCAAAATGACTAAGCATGTATATTTTATCAAGCTCATGTATTTTTGAAGTTTTTATGTACTATAAAATGTAAAAAAAAAAAAAAAAAAAATTTTCTTTTGGCATTTTGCAAAAAAAAAAAAAAAAAAAAGTGAGACTTGGCCTAGGCGAGGTGCGCGGAGGCCGCCGGTGACTCTAACAGCTAATGAACGGCATCGCGTTGGAAGGCGGCGGTCAGCAGCCCGGGCACGCCGCGCGCTCCTCGTCTTTGCTGAGCAGTCGCTTATAGGAATCGACGCTGGAGGCGGTCTCAGGAGTGTCAGGAATTTGGGTTGGCTCCCTGAGTATGAAATAACCCTTTTTTTTTTTTCCTCTTTTTTTCTCCCCCCTGGGTTTGAACCAGTGATTTGCAGGTGCCAGCCTGGCTGTGCCGTTCAGTCCAGCCTCCTGGTGAAGGAAACCCTAACCCTTTGCCATCTTACGCGCAGGGAGAGGTGGTTTAGGACAAATCCGTTGAGGCTGTGCCTGCCCGTGGTGTTCCATAAGGGATTTCTCTGTGCTTTCCAGCGTCGTCCGCTGTCTGCAGGTAACACTAACTGTGGGAGGCTGCTCCATCCATGAGCTCTTCCCATCGCACCAGGACGAGTTGCTGCTGTCCCCGCTACCCTGGGTATTTCAGGTTGGGGTCCTCCTCATGTTAGAGCGGGTCCGGGGCACCTTACGGTGCTTTGTAGGGCCTGGTTTTCAGAACAGGCAGGATTTTTAGGCCAGGCAGGAGCAGGCAGCGAGGGGATGCGGAGCACATTCCAGCTGCCTGGCATCCCCTCCCCGTCCTCTCCCAGAGCCCAGCACCGAGACCCGGGCAGGGGGGCAGAGATTCAGAGGATCGAAAACTTGGGCTTCCTCACTCTTTAAACGAGAAACTTGGTGTTTGAGCAGGTCAGACTGAAACACAACGGTCAACAAAAGGGACTCAATTTCTCTGTAAATAATTAACAGAATACAGTATTAATGTCTCAACGCTGAGCTTCATTAGCTTCTAGATTCAATACGCGTGTTCTGGCACCCTTCACACTGCAGTCAGGGTTTTTTTTGCCTTCCAGAATAGTGCTAAAAATAATTAACCTATCATTACTTAACAAGCATAAACAGACTGTATTTAACTTTGTCACATAAGATATATATATAAATATATATATATGCTGTAAAATGAGGGGAAAAAAACCTTTCTAATAAACCAATGATTTGTGGAAAAAAAATGTGTGGTGGAGTGCAATGACTTGGAGCTGGTGCATCCGAGCGCAGTGCAGCCCGGGGCTGTCTTTTTCCTAAAATAACGGTGTTGGATGCTTGGTTCATCGACTAAAACTACTTTTAATTGGATTACTTTGCTTGGAAGATATTGAGGTGGATACAGAGAAAACGTACTCTTAGTTATTTTATTTTAAAGGGCGTTATTTTGGGTGGGAGCTCTCAACGCACTGCGTTCTGCAGATTCTCTCCTGGCACGATCAAGCCACCGGGTCAGACTTTAATTAAAGGTGAAGCTGGGCAAGAAAGGGGGGGGGGTGTGGGTACTTCGGCGGCTGGAGCGGCAGCGTGCCCCGGTGCTGAGCATCTAGGCCAAAGCTCCGTCCGCCCGCCCCGGGGCCTCCTCTACCCGCAGCCGGTCGCCCAGGGGCGGAGGAGAAGCACCAGCCCCTGCGAGCGGGGACGATGCCACCTCTCTCCGCACTAAGTCCATGATGTGGGGGCTATTTTAGCCCTCTTTAAATGTTTGTTTTTGTTTTTTTTTTTTTAACATCTCCCTCAGCAGCAGCTCCTGACCCCGGGGCTGCAGCCTTGTCCCTGCGCTTGCTTCTGCTGGGAGGCGGCACAACGCCGGCAGCGGGGCTGAGCCCGCTCCTGCCGCCACCGCCGTCGTCTCTGAAGCTGGTGGTTGAGCAGCTCCCGGCTCTGCGTCGCCGGCGCTGCCCGCCGCGCCCCCCGCCATCCCCAGGGCTTCTGCTGCTCTGGTGGTCGCGCCCTGCCTTTGCCAGCCTGGGTGCTCATCCAGAGGAGGCGATTGCTCGGGGCGAGGAGCACCAGCCTCTGCGTCCTTAACCAAAGGGCCTGATTTGGCGCAAGGAAGAAAAATTCAAAGCCCTGAATGTTGCCAAGGTTGGGGTACGGGATGCAACCTGCCTTTGCCTGGGCTGTCCTCTCTTGGGGGGCCCTGGACCTGGTTGGCTGGGTGGATGGCGACGTGGAAGTGTTGCAAGAAACGGGAAAATAAGTGATTTGGTGGGGGAAAGAAAGAAGAGTTAACCTGAAAGCAGCCTGGTGCGGGTTTCAGCTGGGAAGAGACCTCCCGAAGAGGAGCAGCTGCCGCTTAGCGCAGACCCCTGTGCTCAGCTGGCCTCTCCCAGGGGCAGGGAGCTGAGCCGGGCTCGGCTAAACCCTTCCCACCCTTCAGAGCCCCGGTTTTGGGCAAATCCCACCGGTTTCTGATGGCAGCTATTCCGCGGCAGCCGGGAGGCAGGGGTCGCCTGCCGCAGGGGGGTGGCTCCGGGGCCTCTCCCCGCCGGGGGCTTCCCCGGGCTCCCGGCGGCCGCGTG